GAGGAGGAGGAGGAGGGGGAGAATTTTGCAGAGCCCATCGCGACCACAGCAGCGTCGCGCGACGCTGCTGTGGGTGTAGCAGCAGCAGCAGCAGCAGCGTCGCGGCCTAGGGAGGAAGGGGGAGAAGAAGGGAGGAGGAGGGGGAGGAGGAGGAGGCGGCGTCGGCGACAGTGGAGAGAGGTGGAGGTGGCGGCGGCAACGGGGATGGGGAAGAGAGGAGAGAAATGAATTGGATTAGGTTAGGGTTTGATAGATTTAGGTTTTATATAAATTTGGTGGGGGTAGGTAGTAGGGTGGGTACAAATGTTAATTTAATTTTATAATATTATTATTATTATTTAATTAAATATAAAAATATGTATCTATCTATAAAAAATCTGATTTTTGAACATTAAAACTTAAAAAGTTATTTTTGAACTTGGATCTTAAAAAGTATGCCTCTATGTAATTTCCACAATTATGTTTCCACCCACACATGCCCAATAGGCTTTCAATACATGGCTGATATATTGGGGTTTTATGCCAACTTCAAATATGTGATCTCTATTTAGATAATTTTTGTAGTTAATAGATGATTATCTTTCCATGACTATCCATAGCACCACAGTCCAATTAAGGTTTGGCATGTTCCGGTTCGATTTGGTTTAGTTCGGTTCTGAAGATAATCGAACTAAACCCGAATTTTCGAGTATTTAGAAAATGGAACCCGTCGGGTCCAAAATTGATTATGGAACTATTCAAGTTCGGTTCAGTTCGGTTCGATTCCCAAATTCCGTATAATAATAATTATTTTTTAATATTACAACAACGCTACATGAATTTGATTATGACATGTTTAATCTTAACTCTTACAAAATAACATAATCCAATCTCGTAATATATTTTGTATCTCTCTTTGTTGAGTTCTTCATAAATTTAACGATTAAAATCACAAGAAGATGAAGACGACAAATTCACAATAATAGATCAATAGAAACGACACTATGGTATATTAAGTGATTTGGGTAAAATTAGGTTAATTTGATTAAGTTGGATTTGGCTGTAAATTAAAAATAGTAAAATCATATTTTAATTTTTTTATCCTAAATATGTCAAATTATTTTATTTTTTAAAATAAATTGCTAACTAATTAATTTAGTCCAAACCCAAAATATAATTTTTACTATTTCTAATTTTGGGTTTGGACTAAATTAATTATTTAACAAATTTATTTAAAAATGAATAAAATAATTTGACTTATTTAAGATAAAAAAAAATTAGGGAGATTTAATTCTTATTCGGGTTTTCTACAACCGAGAACCTAACCAAACACGTCGGTTCTCGATTTAGATACTCGTTCGGGTATTTAACTTAAAAAGAATCGCTCGATTCGGATCTGATTCGGTTCGAGAGTTTTGTCCAACTCTAAGTCCAATGGAAAAAAATTCACATTTAGCATTGAAAATATATCTATTGTGTTTTTTATGTTCCCGACAAATATTTTTGGGTTTATCTTTTTCTTTTTTCTTAAAATATCTATGAAAATTTGCGTTGATAAGCTACAATATTATTAATGAGAAGAAGAATTAAAGATAACAGCCTCTATAGAATATGTTTTGAAATAAGGGAGAAAGAAAGAAACCTGTAAGTAGAGGCGAACACATACATTTTAGGTTAGGGGAGCACAATCAAACTCTATACAAATCGAATACTTTATTCTTGATTTTTGAATGATTCATACTTGTTTTGAGATAATGTAGATTGACATTTAAAAAAAACATTTTTTTTCATTAATATTTTGGTAATCATTTTCATCGATTTGATTTCGATGAGTCATTTTATTAATGTTTTGTTCATCATAAGAAAATGTATATTTACGTTTAAAAATCTCATAATGTATTTGATACAAATAATCAATTCAAGTAATTGAAATCAAAAACATATAACTAAGATTCAATACTAATAATCAATCAAATAAACACAATTCGTTAAATATAAGTCAAATTGTATATAATAAGTTCAGACACAATCTATATATACAGTTTGATAGGAGAAAATGCAAATTTAGGTTCTAATTACTTGAAAATTTGATTGGAAAGTGAAGATTTGTAGTAAATGTGATAATTTGTAGAGAAATTATATACAAATTTTAAAAAATAGAAGAGTTAAGATTTTGTTAAAAGGTATGAAGAAAATAGTAAAAGAGAGCAAGAGAAAAGAGAAGAATTCAAATTTCTTGTGATTTTATCATTGTTTGGTGAAGATTAAAATCAAATTTTTAGTAAATTTTGATATAAGTTAAAATTTTATGAATTTCATGAAATATGTTATTAAAATTAATTGTTGACTTTGATTTAGATTTCAATCAATGCCAAACATGACTTCATAAAAAAATAAAAATAAAAATTCTCAAAAGTTCGGGGTCACGTGACCCCCTAGGTCCGCCGGTGCCTGTTAGGCTGTATATTGAACTCTGCAATTATCCGCTGAATTTAATTCAAAGGGAGATAATTTATTTCTTGTAGATTTTAAAGAGACAGAGAAACGTTTTGTCTGGTTAAGAAAAAGAAAAGGAAGAAATAAGGCTACTAATCTCATCACATAAGCCAATCGGGAGTTTGAAAACACTCATCGGGTACAAACTAGTCAAAAAATACATAGATTCTTCTTTTTCTAGAAATACTGAAAAATGAAAAAGAAAGAGCTCAATTGTTAAAAGGGTGAAAGTGAGATCTTGATGTGCTAAAATAGTAGAATGTACTTTGTTCGTCTTTTGAAACATGTGATAGGTCTTAAAAGCATGTTTGACTTTGCTACTTTAAAAAAAAAATAAAAAATTAGCATGTTTAGAAGTTATTACTCTTGGTACTCCATACTCCTCGAGAAAAAGTTAGGTACTGTTTGAGACACATTATTTTTTTCATTTTCATTCTTCTACTCATTTTTAACCACACATTTTTCAATAAAATAATATTTTACATCACATCAATAACTTTTTTTTTTTTTCAACCACATATTTCTCGTTACATCAACAGTAAAAATGCGTTCTTTTTCCAAAAATGTGCACCAAACGTGGGCTTAATTTTTTTTTATTAGTTTAGTTTTATGAGAAGAAGCCAATTTAGGCTTTTTATTGGATTTTAAGCAAAGTCAGATGTAAACCACGACTTAAAATGGAAATATAGGCCTTTGTATTGAATTGATGGGTGAACTAACATGTTTAGAGTTTGGCTGCATGAGATTTGGTGTCAAATTAAGAAAAGGAAGAGACTGCCTCCTTTAAAGTATTGAATTTACGTTTGATAACTTCAATGCTCCAAAGTCGTAGATTTTAACTATAATATATACTTAATTTTCAGTGGTAATTTTTTTTTATCAAGGACCTGTTTTAGCCCCCATTTTATTGTAAGAATGCACATTGGAATAATAAATCGACGGAGAATGTGTGGTTAAAAAAAAATGAATTTACGTGTAATATTATTTTATTGAAGAACGTGTGGTTAAAAAAAATGGAAAATGCTACATGTACACAATGGTGTACACACGGCTTTACACCCCCCTCACATGGAGGAAGGGCCACACATAAAATATTTGTGGGCTCCCTCTATGTTAGGGGGGATGTAAAGCCGTGTGTACACCATGAGGTATACACATAGCATTTTTCAAAAAGAATAGAGAGAAAAATGTATTCTAAAAATAATGGAGATGAATGGCTAAATGTATAAATACATACAAATTCGCGCTTTCAGGAGACTTTCAATCAAAGAGAAAGTGCCATAATATACTGTTTACTTGGGTGAGGCTCAAGAAAGGAGACATTATAAACAATAAATGAGAAAATTTACAGAATCGCCCGCAAAAAATGCAACAAATTGTGAGAATTTCATACACTATCAACAAACAGTTTTCCCAGTCATACGGTACAAAGCAAGGGAAAAAAAGTGTCATGTGAGTGAGATTTCTATTTGCATTCCCTTCTACTCAGAAATGAAAGGGGAAACATAAAAAAGAAAAGAGATAAAATATATAACCGTTTTGAACTAAGCTTTACTTTTGGCCTTCTTCAAAACATCCTTCAAAACCAAGGATATCCTATGAGACATATGGTGTTCCAGAAACATTTCATTAACTCTTTCGTATCCTTTTTTCCCCATTGCCAGCCTCGTCTCAACATTTGTGGTTAGCTCAACAATGTTATTTGCAAGTGTTTTTATGCCCTCTTTTCCAGCTGGATGCAGCCACCCAGTGGTTCCATTTACAACAATCTCCATAGTACCTCCAGCTGCGGTCCCCTGAAATGTGCAAGACGTGCATGGGTAAGTGTGAAAAAAGAACGAGGAGCATAGGCAGTCATGCTCTAAAGTATTAGAGAGAGAGAGAGCCAACAGAACCGATCCAGCTCCTGGAAGTAAGTGTGTTCTACCATTTTATAAAAAAAAAAAAAAATTGATGATCATTCCTGGTATAAAGTGGTTCATTTGCAGAGAATATACTACGTTTACCTATCGAATAGGCTGTATATTATTTTATTTTCTCGTGCGTGTCTTTGGGGATTGCTGGAGAGAAGAAGGCTAAAAACTACGGTCAAATTTATGTATTATAATTGACATGAGGATCCCAATGGAAACCGTAGATCTCCCAATTTGTAAGCTGAATCAGTAACATAATAGGCATATGAAAACAGAAAGCGGGTTTGAGAGAGGTTCTGTAGCATAAAGAAACAAAAGACTTGGCCCATGTTTGGCTAATGTTATAATCTGTTTATAATTGCTCAAACCACTTTTCATTCACACATTTCGTGGGAGCCACTAGTATTACCCACTTAGCCACCAATCTTTTCTATCTATTTATAATTTAAACCGTTTATAAACACTTCCTAAACATACTTAATGCACTAATGTGTATTTAGTACATTGAAGTATGAAGCATGTAGATCACCATAATTGAATAGCAAAAATCAAAGGCTTACCAATACAGGCAGCTGAAAAGCCATAGCTTCAATGGTAATCCTCCCAAAGCACTCTCCCCGTGCCTGCATAAAATGTTAGACTTAATCAGTATGTGGAACCTAAGATTAATCACAAGCATAAATCCCATCAAATTTCATTTTCCCCCTATTTTTACTGGTTGTCAGGGTTCTATTTCTTTTTATTTATTTATATTTTAATTTGAAGGAAGGGGGACGGGTTAAAATAGTGTCATCCTCGCAGCTGGATAACATTCCCTTCCTGCCGCCATATGTATTCTCATGTCTATTTTTCTCTCTTCCCCAATCACTGACAAATAGCTTATCTTGAGTGAATGTACTGCCAAACAAATAACACAACAGAAGGAATTGATTTCTGTTTTAAAGCATAGAGAAATCACCATGAATCCCTGAAGGACAAATTCACCACTTCGAAAGGTGACCCTTACGTTTCAAGATATTAACTGTATTTTGAGAATGGAAAATTCATGACAAACTCAAAATATTAATAGACAAAATTGACTAGTAGTAGCCAATACTGGACAAAATGTCCTGCATTCATAAGTGAATGGAACTAATGAAGTTTCAAAGGCCATTCTGAAGAGTTTATTTTCAACTGAGCACCTTAGAATAAAAATTTGGGAAATTAACGTTAAAAGGAAAAAAAATACAACAGTGAATGTTATTAACAAAGAAGGTGAGCAACATAATTACCTATAATGGGAGAGGGAGAAGGGAAATGATAATATCCGTTAGTACAGCAAGTTCAGGGGGGAAATATGAGGAATCGTGTTAGAAAATGATAAAAAGAATGCAATATGGTATCAGGTCTATAAATTAACAAAGTACCTGAGAATTTTGAACAAGTACATCAATAGATGCCAGATACGGAGCTACATTAAGAGTTTTGTTAACAAAGTGAACACAATTCTGAATTTTCTTCTCCGCCACAAAGTTACGCAGTTCAGTTTCAAATTTGGTCTGGGCATTCATGTCACTTCCCACTATTACTGCGTGTATTGGTGGCATTTGCAGTTTCTTCTCTTGTATGAGTTGCAGACTTTCATAGAATGATCTAAGAAATAGATCCTGACCTTTCCCACGAGAAACACCTGCAGTAATTTCATATAATTCTGCTCAGGTACCATGTAATCCATTGTATTTACAAATACAAGGTGAACATACTGCACATAAAAAATCAACTCCTTATCTCTCATGTTTAATACGGAGAAAGGTCAAAACAAAATTCACCTTCTGGTAAATTGGTAAAGTATTAAATCAGACAATGAAGCACCAGTAACTCAACGATTATACTAGGTTAATTTGCTTTCAAAAACTATCTTTATCAGTTAAAAGGAAAAATTAGGTTAGGATTCTGTAATGACAACTGTATATCATTTGTTATAGATAGCTTACATCATAGATACAAAGGACAAAGGAACTAGTTCATTTTTATTTTTACCCTTCTTGAAATAATAATGCACTGATAGCCAACTCTATCACTTTCTCTATCGGTCAAATAAAAATTTCAAGGAAAATAAACGGTTTGGTGGGATGCAATCACCTACTCTGCAGCTGACATTCTTCTCCTACACTTTGTATCATGCCTTTGCTACTTTTGCACTGAGTTGTTTGATTTTGTATCCATGTCAAAAATATATTACCACTAGCAGATGTCTAAAGGTAGCCCTTCATATGTAGCGGGCTAAGGTTTATCAGGACAAAAGAAGACAGGTAGGAGAAAGAGTACAGGCTTGATTCACAGATCTTGCACAGGATTATGCATGAGACCTTTCCGATGATTTACATGCAAAGTCAGGTTAAACACAGACAATTTGGAAATGAAAATCCCACAAGTGTGACAAAGAAAGGCTGCAAGATTCAACCCAACTGAACTAGGCACCAGCAAAGCAGGTTTAAATGAGCTATCATATAGATAAATACAAACTATTAGTTGCGACAAATTTATTATTTCATAATTGGAAACATACTATTGATAATGGCAAAGAGAAGATCATCTTTTCGCACTCCAAGTGATTCCCTAATATGCTCTCTAAGGATCCTTCTTGCCACGCTATCTTCGGCTACTTCCATCAAGTCTTTGCTATTTCCAAGGTGCACAACATAGGTGTCCGGCATTTTAATCCTGCATCAAAAGTGAAAGACAGTTTTTACCCATCACCCATGTAAAACCACTGAAAGAAACTAGAAATGGATGTGCAAAATTCTTATTCAAGGTCTGCAGGGAAGAGTGGAGTTGCCACAGAGAGAGTAGGGACACTGGTTCTGTGTTATCTTGAATTAATCATTCAGTTTACCTGACAGTTATATATTAAATCAAAAAGATCTTTTATCCAATTGTTTGCATGGTATTAAAATTTAAAAAGAATCGAATACGTAATCTTAAACAATAATTCATATATCCATATATGCATACACCTACATATAACAAGAGCTTAGGTGAATTTTCAGCATGTAAAAGGCTATGTATTCTTGTTTGCCCGTTTGGAAGTCTGCACTTGAGGCAATCTCATAATTCAAACTGCTGCCATAACACACACACACATAATAGTGCATGTGACCTAGCATATGTGGACTGCAAGATAGATTTTACGGCAACTTTTGTAGCATAAATTATAGAAGTTATAGCACTATCTCCTGCAACAACTGGATGTCAAAAAATTCCATGTGGCACCCAGGCCATCAGAAAACATTTGTGCCTCAAAAATATTAAAGATGCCTGTTGCAGCTGTAAAGCTAGTATGCGGAAGAAGTGCGCACCAGCTTTTCTTTAATAATAAATGGAAAAACAACAAAGAAGAGGATATATGTACGCAATAATAACCAACATCTATGAACAGTGAAGGTCCAGTAAGAGCAAAAAAATAATTTTCTACAAAGAATTTGTTTAAAAAAGACTATAGGCCACTCGTATTAGCACATGAGGAGCACAATCTCTTTCATACACACATACGACAAGAATGTTGTGGAGGTCCTGAAATAAACAGAACAGCATGCTGTTATAGTAAATATGGGGGTATCAACATACCCTAGACGGTCATGTGTCCGGTTCTTCCAGTACTCTGCAGTTGTGTGTGAATCTATCATGGCACCTGCAACAAGAGGAAGGTGCTTAACATACTCCAGTTTGAAGTAATGCCCTCGCATTTCATGAATCCACCACAAAATCTTTGGAACTACACGAGGCACATTTTCTTTGAGAACTGCATCCAGCCACTTCCCAGCCACAGCAGTATTTAAAATGACCAAATCAGCTTTAAGAGCTATGTCAACAGCTTCCTGGCCCTTTGAAGATAATACCTGAATGAATGAGAAAACCCCCAGTAACAACATTGACCCTATTGCTCATGTATTTTTATTTACATCTAATGAAATGGACCTCATTTTACCTGCACTCCTCTGTCCATCATCTTCTGTTCCAAACTGTAAACCACTTCATCCAGCTCAGTTGGCTTTTGATTAGTAATCCAAACAACTTTGGTACCAACAGCTCTTAGCAAAAATGCGAGTTCCATCAGTAGTAAAGGCCCTCCTGTGAGGACACAGAAAGCCGTTCTTCATCATTCTTTCTCATGCATTAAAATAACAAATGACAAATGGATTTCATTAGTTTCAATCCTTTTTTGGACCCAAGAAAAAAAGGATATATGTCCACATTTAGTGAAACAATTAACAGAATATTAAGACATATGGTGTTAAGGTAGAACACGAAAAAAAACAATCTTTTTTATTTTAGTTCTGTTATTTTCGTCATAAATTCAATTCGTGTAGATGAAAACCAAAGAAAAAAAAAGCATCGGCGAATATTGACACAATTAACAGAAGTTAGCAACCTATTATGGCATAGCAGCAACTACTGGTATTTTCCAAGAGAAATTCACAAGGTAACTGAAGCATTTTCCGAAGCTAAATTTTCAGGATTTGCATCACCAATTACATTAGACAAAATAAAGCTGAAACAAAATTCTTCACATAAAACTCTTAATTAAGAACACATGGCTCTGCACATTGCCATCGTTTTTACCTTCATTTATCCAATATTCCCTACCTACCGAACTCCTTAAATTTGTTGAAGAAAAACTTTAGATCAATAAACACTATTTGCCAAGAATTTATTTTATTTTTTTCCTAACAGTCACATTAATTATACTTCCAATCAACTCACTATTAGAATTAAATAAAATAAGAGCGAGTAGAGTTAAAATGGAGCGGAGCGGTACCGGAGAGGGAGAGCTCATGGGAGACTAAAAGAACAAGCTTTGATTTCATGAAACTGAGTGGATTTTCAGTTTCTGCACTTCCTTTTCCGGTTCTCGAAGGCTGAAATGAGTGCATTTCAGCATTGATTTTGTTGTTCTCAATGTAATTTTGAGAATTGCAAGAATCAAAAGAGGCTCTGATGAAAAATACAATAGCAGTGGAGCATAGCAGAATTATTATCAACGGCCATCTTTTCTGACCTGGAATCAATCCCGTCGACGATTGCTTCGCCATATGTTAATGTGTGTGTATTTACACATACATAATACATATATCGTGGTGTGTGTATATTAATGGAACCCAGATCTGTTGTATTGGGGGTATTGATTCGTAAATTTGAGACTTGGATCTGACTCGACGTCGTTTTGTCTTTCTTCCAAGGTTTTAAAATAGCATTTTAAATAAATATCACCGTGTACAATTTATGCAGGTGCATTTATCAAATTGACCTAGTTGACCAAGCCTTTATAACCTTTTGTAAGATTGTCTTTTTTGCCCTTAATGATATATGTATTGTTTATTACAAAGTATATCCTTTCTATATAAATGGTTTTTTGACGATTGATATAATATATTTCTATATTTTCAACTCTATCCATCAACTCTATCATTTGATCTACTAGATTAACATAATCTATAATCTTTTATTCATATTCCTTTATAAGTTTTTTATATT